CTTATGCGCGTTGCGGGGTTGGCGCGTCGCGAGCCCCGAAACCTGGAAGCCAGCTTCGGTTATGCAGGACGGAAGGGACGCCGCGCCTTTCCGCGCAGGTTCCGGGGCGGCGCTATGCATTGCGGCGCCGCAGCGCTGAGGAGGTGGAGGCGGCGGCCGGGGCCGAGTAGTCGCGGCGGGGGTGGCGGGGCGGGTTCCGCTGAGGCGGCTCTGACCGACTTCGCGTCCCTCCATCATGTCCGACGCGGCGGTGGCCGACACGCGGCGCCTGAACTCGAAGCCGCAGGACCTAACGGACGCCTACGGGCCGCCCAGCAACTTCCTGGAGATCGACATCTTCAACCCGCAGACCGTGGGCGTCGGGCGGGCCCGCTACACCAGCTACGAGCTCCGCATGCGAGTGCGTGGGGCGGGGCTTGGCGGGGGCGGGGCTTCCCCTCCTGACCCCCCCCCCGGGACGGGGCTGCCAAGGGGGCTGGCGGGGCGGGGGGCTCCGGGCCAGGACACCTGCCCGTCCCGCTGCCCTTCGGGGGGAGGAAGGGCTCCTCTTGCTCAGCGGGGGCCCAGAGCCCCCCAGGCGCCTCTGTGAAGGGGGGGGAGTTGTGGGTCCACGTGCAAGACTAAGGGGGCCGGGGGGGGGGGGGGAATGTCCGCCCCTTGGCTGATAGAAAAAGCGGCCGGGAGAGCGTTGCTGCCCTGCAGGGGAGCCCCTGCCCGGATCCTGAGGGTGGGAGGCGGCCTGGGGTGGGGGGAGATGTGCAGGAAGGAGGGGGGTCTTCTCCGGGGGGGGGTGTAAATGGGCCCCTGCCCCCTGAAGCCGCCTCTGGGGCAAGGCCAGGAGGAGGAGGAGGACGGGGGGGCCTTCAATCCTCTCTTCTTTCCGCCCAGACAAACCTGCCCATCTTCAAGCTGAAGGACTCCTGCGTCAGGCGGCGATACAGTGACTTTGAATGGCTGAAGAACGAGCTGGAGCGGGACAGCAAGGTGAGTGCCGGCAGCAGCCACAGCAGCCGTCCCCAGGCGGAGGAGGGCCTTGCCCCGAAGGCTGCTCTGGGGCTGAGCATCTGGAGGGGCCACACGGGAAACGGGCCACCTGGCAAGCGTCCGGTTCTCCTCCCCGCTGAAACGATAACTCTCGGCCTGCAGATTGTAGTACCTCCGTTGCCGGGCAAGGCCTTGAAGCGCCAGCTTCCCTTCCGGGGAGACGAGGGCATCTTTGAGGAGTCCTTCATAGAAGAAAGAAGACAAGGCTTAGAACAGTTCATCAACAAGTAAGGCCTGACTTGGGGGGCGGCTCTGGGCAAGAAGGGCCGAGGTTCTTGTTTTGGCTTTGTGCTTTGGATGAGGGCTCTCCAAACTTGGCAACTTTTAAGACTTGTGCACCTCAACTCCCAGAATTCCCCAGCCAGCTTGGAAGTCCGCATCTTACATTGGTCAAGTTTGGAGACCCCAACATTAGATGCATCTGTTTTAGTAGACATTGTCCGAAACCTCAGTTCAATTGTACAAGTAGTTCTCAACTGATAACCATAATTGATGGTGGTTAGTCATCAAGCAGTCACTGTACCTGATTTTATGACCTTTTTTGTGGTGGTCATTGAGTGAATGTAGCGGTCAGTAAACAAACCCATTTTATTCAATGGGCGTTTTTTGCCAGAAGCTGGGACTAAACACCAGAAATCAGCACATAGCATCACAAATTGTCCTTGTGTGTCTGAGACACTGCAAACAGCTGTAAGAGTGAATCTGTTGTGTAATTGCATGACCGTGAGCGGGGGTGTGACTGTACAACCTTTGAAACTGGGTCATAAGTATCTGAGGGTTTGGTGATAAGTCGAGGACTATCTGAATTTCCGTTAAACGAGCAAAACATGCTTAGGCTTAAAAAGTTGCAATAAGTTCAGGCAAGGCCTGGGTTCAAGTCCATCCCCAACTGATTAGATTCCCCTCTTCTTTGCATCTTGCCTTACGCAGTTGTGGGAAAATGAGAGGGAGGAATATCCTGCATGTTGCTTTGAAGGCTGGAGGTAGACATCTCCTGCTACGGGCAGAGTGCCCGGTTTTATTTGAGAAGTGCTTGTCCATCAGAAAACATCTATCCTCTGCCAGGATAAGAATCATAGGCTGTTGCTCAGCCTGCTTCCTCTGCCACCGCCAGCAGCTCTGCCCGTCATCTGCCTCCCATATAAACTGGCATCTTCTCCACTGGTTTTCCCAATGGAGCCCAGGGAAGAGAACTGAGCGAGGGCCAAGACCCCTGAGTGGCGACTATGGCAATTAGAGTCCTGCAAGACCATGATTGTGTTGTGTACCTATTGTGATCTTTCTTTCTTGTGTAATGTCAGCCAGCAGGTAGCTGTTGGACCATGTAACCCCCCTGCCTTTCCTGGTTTCTCCTGGCAGAATCGCTGGACACCCGCTGGCACAGAACGAGCGCTGCTTACATATGTTCCTGCAAGAAGAAACTATCGATAGGAATTACGTTCCAGGGAAGGTCCGCCAGTAGGGGAGAATGGGCTCCTCCATTTTGTTTTTTCCTCTCTGCAAAAATGACATTTATTTTTACACTTTCTTCTGAACCAGCTTTTTCCCCCCTCTCTTTCTGAACTCCCCTACTTCTCCAGTGTTGACCATCACGCCATCCCATTCCACCCTTTCAGCCTTGACAAATTCTGTTGGTTTCGGTTTCTGCATGAAAGGTGAGGATTTATGAATAGCTGTACTTATCGGTGGGTGTGTAAAGCTTGCCAGGAACTCGTGTAAGAATATACACTAGGGATCTGAGCCTTCTGCTTTTGAGTAAGGAAGTAGGGAGTTTTCCTGCCTGGACAGATGTCCCCGGCACAGAACTTGGCACAGAATCTCTCTTGCTCAGAGCTGTTCTTTCTGTCAATATTAGTGTCTCTCGGCCCTGAATGATTAAAGCCAGTTTCTGCTTTCCAGTCCCTTCTCCCTTCTTTGAAGGTAGCCTTATGGACTCTTATCACTCTTGGTGATCAGGCCTCTGGGAATTCCACGCGGTTGCCATGCAGGGACTCCGCTTCCCCTTTCCCTGGTTGAAATGTTTGGAGGGGCTTTGTGGTATCTTGCCCAAAAAGATTTCCCAGGTGAAGCAAAGAAGAGCTTTTGCCAACTATTTCTGGTGGGGGGGAGAGGATCCCCAAGAGTGCAGGCAAAATCTGCACCCCAGCAGATAGGAGGCTCCCCACCCTTTCTCAGCAATCGCCTGTGCAGGCCGCTCCAGATCACACAGTGCAGAATTACAGGTTACGGTAGCCTGACTTACAGCAAAAGGCTGGGCGAACGTTTCCTAGTTGAAGGCACCTAGGAGCTGCTTGGAGCCCTGCGTGATTTAAAAGTCCTTTTTTGCCTTTGAACTGGAAGTTGTACTACGACCTGATGCTTGACCCGCTTTTGTAGAATCCCTCTCTGACTAAGCTCACAACTCTGTGCTTGCAGGATTGTGGTGCAAAGTTCTCTGGTGTTTAATGTGTAATGAAACAGGGAGGTTTTATTGAAGGTTGTGGGTATTCTGTTGCCCCCTAAGGAGCTGCCTCCATTGAATGGGCCTCTGTAATGCCCAGCATTCTGTATGGGTTGCCCCCCACAGGGAGAGAAGGGTAGAATATTAGTCCATATCCTGAAGGCTTTAATTCAAGTTATTTCTTTTGCACCTTCCACAGTTTAGGGTGGGCAGTTAACTGAGACATGGAGGGGAAAGGGAGAGGCCGTGTATGGATTATGTTCCCAGCGTTCCTCAACTTGCCCATGTTGCTTAAACGCCGTTTGAAGGGCCTCTCTGGTCTCCCAGCTCCACATAAAAGTCCAGTCAAGGGCAGAGAGGGCTGGGAAACGTCAAAATGAATTGAGAAGTGCTTGATAGCGAGCAGCCTTCCTTCCAGAACTGCTGCCAGGAAGATAGAAACATCCCCGTTTGGAGCAGCCTGCCAGCACCCGGACAAATCTGCATTTGCTGCGGGTTTCAAATCCACTTTTATTCGGTGCACAAGTCTGAAGCTGCCCGGCTGCTGCAGCTGTCCAGGGATGCCTTTGAATGGGGGGCTCCCGGGTCGGCCCCCGGGGTCTTGGGCTGGCTGGCCGGCTGGTGTAACATCCCAGGCTTGTTCCCACTAAAGCCACTGTGAAGCCAGAGGTGTCTGCGCCGCCTCCTGCCAGGAAGAAGGGGCGCTCGGTTACGTTCAGGCGGCACGGAAGGGGGTGCGGGGGTGGGAGGCGGCTGAGGCCACCAGGATCTGCAGCTGCAGTCCAGCCCCTCTTGGGGGGCGGAGAAGCCGGGGCCCCTGCTCGGGTTGGGCGGGATTCCTGGCCCAGAGGGGGGCGGGCGAGCCCTGGGCATCCTTTTGGGGGGGGGATAACGGCACCTCGGGCACCTGAGCAGCTGCACTTCGGCTGATGCCCCCCGCCCAGGAATGGCAGCAGCCTGGGAAAGAAGGGCCAGCGGGGCTCCGGATGAGGGTCTCCCTCGCCCCCCCCCCTTCCTGCCAGCAGCAGCGCCGCAGCGCCGGGACGATCCGAAGGGATCGATGGGCGCTCTTGGGGGGAAACCAAGATCCCCCGGGGGCCACAGACAACATTTCTCTCCCCCCCCCCCCCCGCAGGGCAAAAAAAAATGGTGCGCTCCAAACCCGGCCTCCCAACCAACCGTCCGTACCCCGCCCGGAGCGCGCTGGGCGTCGGAATCAAGAGGACCGGTGGGATGGGGGGGGGGAAAAGCGGCGCTCCTCGCTCACTGATTGGTTTCCCAGCTGCACGTGGTTAAGGGCTCTTGGGCGCCGATGGGATGAGGTCCTCGTCGGATTGGTGGAGCGAGGACCAATGAAAAGCCTGGCGCGGAATGCGAACGCGGAGCCGCGAGCGCGCGCCCGTCCAACTCGGTGGCCAGAAGGGAGGGGCGAGGGGGTCCCCCGGGAGGGGCCCGATGGATGTTCCGCAGCCGCCACGCCGGGGCCCGGGAGGTGGCTGCGGCCCAGGGAGGCTCTTCCTTCAAGGGCTGGCCGTGGAGCCGCCTGTCCGCTCCCCATTTGGCCTCCTGGAAGCGGCGGCTGCAATAAATGCGAAGGATTAGGCCGTCCTCGATTTACGACCACAATCGAGCCCCCAGATTTGTGTTGCTGTGAGATGTGTTGCGTTTGTCCTGTTTTATGACCTTTCCTGTTAAGTGAATCACTGCAGTTGATAAGTTGGGGTTACGTGAACCTGGCTTTCCCATTGACATGGTTGCAAAAGGGGATCGTGTGGCCCCACGACACTGCAACTGTCATAAATGTGAGCCAGTTGCCAGGGGCTGGATTTTGATCACATGACCCCAGGAGATCCTTGCAGAGGTGGGAAACGGCCGGCCGGCCCGTTCTCCAGGGCCGTTGTAACTTCAGCTGGTCACAAAACGAACTGCTGTAACTCAAGGACTGCCTCTACTCATTGTAGCAACAGCTCACAGGCGGTGGTGGCCGTGCAGGAGAGGAGCGCCACCTCCAGCTCCCGAGGGAAAGGAGGGCCTTCGGTTTCATGGCCTTTTCAGTGACAAATTATCCTGAGCTGTCGATCATTGATTATTCATTGACTATTTCAGTTTTGAACGCTTGCAAAAGTTCATTTGCTTTGACCTTGTACCTCGTCTGCTGCTGTGAAGGCTGGAAAATAAATAAAACCTGCTGAATCGTGTTTTCTGTCTGGTCCTTCCAGAGTAGTGCCTGGATCCTGGCTCTGATCTTCATCTCTGCTGTAGAGACAGCAGGAGTAGCAGGGTCTGTTCTGACTCGTTCCATTTTAACAACAAACCATTTTGAACATGATTTGATGGCAGCAGTTTATTCTTATAGTAACTAAATTTAGCAAGGATATATAAGTCAACAGAAAGATTGAAAAGCTTTACAAACTAGATCTAAGCCAGAGGCCAGCCTTATTTGGGTTATTTAGGGGTAGGATGTGTAAGGGGAAGAATTGAATTCAGGTAATGGGGGGAAACTACCAGAGAGATAGCTGTATTTCCTGGAAAGTGAAAACGTGTGTAGCCTTTTTGACAGAAGCTCTGACTCACAAACGTGTGATGTGCGGGATTCTGAGCTCTGTTTTGCCAAGCCATGCAGCCTTAGGGCTCAGGTTCCTGCTGTTCCTCTACTTCCGCTTGTTTCAACTGCTGGAGGCAGCAACATACCCAAGGCAGAATCTGAAAAATATATAACGGAATTGTTGCCCCATCAGCTCGGAAGCCATCTTCCCTGCCAGTCCATGCCCCCCCCACCTGTTTCCTGATGCAAGGGTGGCTAGTTACCAGCAGAGGGAAGTAAGAGTCCAAAGAATCTCCCCTCCAAATTAGAAGAAAAAGGAGTATCTTGACATAGCAGGACATGGAAAGCAGAGGTTTGATTCAAAGGCAGATAGTATCTATTCCAGCAAGAACCTCGGTTGTGCAGATCTAATCTGCGTGGGAAGAGAACTGGAAAATCTCTTTCCTTGCCTTTGGCTCAGACAGTAAATGAAAGGGAAACGGAATTACCATTTTAAAAGATTAACTTCTCGGTTCATCAATTTCCCAAACAAGCATCCTTGTTTATTTCTGTTTATTGGAAGTCCATTGTCGGGTAATAAAATTACCTAGTGGATTACAGAACCATTTTAAATTCCTGATTATGCAATCCAGCAAGTGGGAAACAAGATATTGCTACTGGTACTTTTCCATGAGGATAGAAGGGAGTAGCAAAATCTCTGACTTGAAGGCTGAGCATTTCCAGGACTGGCCATTAAGTGGGTAGAATAAGATTCTTCTCTGACATGAGATTAAATATGATGGTTTGGAAATTAAATGTTAAATTCCACAATAATAAAGTAGCTGAATTAATGTATCATATTAATGCCCATTCAAACTGTTCTATATCTTATAGTTCTTGTCCTATTGTTTTATGGAATGCACTGAACCCTCTCCAAAATGGTATACTAAAAAGTGAACAGACATCCCGGTATCAGTGAAGTAATTCTAATAAGACCTAGAGTATAAAGAACAGTAGGAATTATTTATCCTACTGAAGCCTGCAGAAAAACGAATAAAATAAAGTTTGGTATCAATACTGTTCGTGGCCATTCTATGAAGAAGCCAATCGTGGAAAAACGATGTAGAAATAACTGAATAAGGGGTTAGATTAATGATTTCCAAAATTGTTTCCAAAAATTCTATATTTATCAAAATAAATCTGTCATACTGAGCTGTGGTATTTCTGGTAAAATATGATTCTCTGCGCAGTTTTAACAAGACTGAACAGTGCCATGAAAGCTGGTTTTGCAATAAGATTCTACTTGGAATTATAAAGCGATTTTTCCACTATTAATGTGAGGAGGAGCACTTCCTGTGCAACAACACACTTCTCGCTAGCTTCCTCTGTATAGATGTGGTCATAACGGCAGATTGCTGGAAAAAGAACTAGTCCAGTATGTAATTAAAATACCATTTTTATGTAGGGATGCTTTTTGAGGGGGAGTTGGGAAAATGCAGCCCTTTGATGGAAGACGACAGGCAAGGAAATTGGTAGATTGTTTTTCAGAGCCCAGGTAGTCATGGGTTCCTCACAAATCTGCACATATGACCACTTCAGGGCAGCCACGATCCGCACAATATTTTGGCCCTCTGCCTGGCTCTTCCTCCGCTAGTCATGAGGGTGGTAATTCCTGCTCTCTGATCCCCACTGAATGCCTATGAAGTTGCGTAAAAGGCCCAGATTTCCTCTCGGGGCCAAATTTAGGCAAAAAACTGTATAATTAAAAAATTGCATTTTTCCTGTACCGGGTTGCATTTCAACCTTCTCCCGCCCTTTCCTCTGCACACACAGACACACACACACACACAAAAAGGAGAAAGATGAGGAAAGTGTCACGTTTTAAAGGGTGAGGTATAAAGCTTCTAACTGAAGGATCCTGTGGGTTAAGTGAGCTTGAAAAGTGCCTATTAAATTGCAGAGAACGTGACCTAACCCCCTAGCCAGGGAGGGAGGGGGGTACGAAGATTTCAAGGGCCTGAAAAAGGATTGCCGGGTTGACATGGGAAAAGTGGAGGGAGAGTCTCGTCTGTCCGTTAATTATTCACTTTTTCAGTCGTTACGAGGTTAAAAAATGCCTGACCCCGTTAGTTCCATGTCCTGAGTGTGGTTAATGCTTGCTGGTGTAAAAAAGATAAAGATTTCTAGACCATTTTGAATGGATGTATTTACATGTGTCATTTGATTTTTTTATTTTAAAAGAGCCCTCATTCTGCAAAGGTCTGCTGGAGAGTATACGATAAACATGCATGAAACGAAACGTTGATCTAGTTAATGGGACTTAGGTTTACCTTCTCTTCCATCAGCCTCGGCACAGCTCGCCTGAGCATTGGTCCCTCTGACATTCGATTAAACTTCTCTTTCTCACTGGCTGTGGTGAGGTCTGGTAGGAAAGCCAGTGGCTGGTATCTGGCTTTGGCTTCCTGTTGTCTGTCAGAACCGAGTGGTTGGAAGCTGGCCAGCCGCTCAGGCCTAAATCCAATTGCTTGCAAGAGTTTATTGGAATCTGGCATTTGGTAAGCTTTTCCCTCTGCCATAGATGGCAGTCGGACAAAACTGGGAACACCTGGCCTGGCCCTCTCGGCAGAGCATGGCCGCTTCTTCCAGCCTCCTCCCTTGCGGCCTCTGTGCAAGTTCTGAAGAAGCCAGTCCCTGTTGCCTGCAGGCTGCTGTGATCGCGAATCCAGGCTTGTTGCTTTGCCTCTGCTCAGCTTACGTAACCCTCTGCCTTTCCTGCTCTCTTCCTATTGCCTCACCCAGTCGGGTTCCCGCTATCTTTATTATCTTTTGCAGGGCTGGTTTTTCCTCTTTTGTGCTGAAATCTGTAGGGCGAGCCTTCTTCACCTCATCTAAATTGGAGAGCGTGGCATTTCTAGGGAAATTAATTAATGGATCTCTGCCCTAGCCAGGTTTTCTCCTCCCCACGGCTCTAGAACATCACCCAGACAATTGAAATGGCCGCCCGTGTTCTCCTCTTCGTTCTACAAACCACAGAGGACACCGAATAATAACAGAACACTTTATTTGGTCCAACAAATGCATTAAGACGCTGGGTATTATATTCACGTTGAAGAACTTTTGTGCACATGTACCGTAGATGTTCAGACAAGACAACAAAGTTCTGTTAAAACAAGTGGAAATCTCCCCTCTTGCTCTGCCCAAGGCTGCGGAATAACGTAAGGTTAGGAACACGAGAAGCCGCCTTTGCTGAGACTGGCCCATTTATCTCAGGGTGGGTTCCAGACCTGGTGCTCCCAGCCTTTTCTGAAGACCTGGGACCATGAAGATTCTGCTGCTGAGTTACAGGCCCTAAACTGAGATTGTCCCAAATCTCCTTCAGAAAGAGGAAATGTCAAAAGTTGTGCGTATAGAGCTAATTTCCAAAACACAACAAACTCAGTGTTGGCTCTGCACGTTCACAATTTGCTTTTGGAAATGTTGGGGAAATTAATCATAAGACTTGGAACGGAGCTGCGTGAAGTTTGAAGTGGCTTTGGCATTATAGAACCTGGCCCTGGTGCAGTTGTTAGGAAGCCTGGCTTTCTGATGTAAGTGGAGTGTATCTACGTACATACAACCAATGTCACTATCCAGCTTTCTGTGGAATTCTCAGAATTATTTTTCTGGTAAATAATCTGTATCATGACAAAAAGCAAGCCACTTTTTCCCCAGAAAACAAGTCACCCCAATCCTGTCTTTGCCACTCTGGTGCCTTCCAAGTTAGGGACCGAATTCCTTGCCAGTTTCACGTTGGGCCAAAATAGGAAATCACTAGCTGGACAATATATTTGGCTTCATTTATGAGGAGGAAAACATCTCCACCCTGTTTTGGAGCCAATGGGGGTTTATTGGCTTTGCCATCTTTGCAACAGATGAAGTCTGGCAGTGACCTCACCTTGCTTTGAGGTTTTGCCAGCTGTGGTCTGCTGCTGGCTTCGTTCTAAGCAACCAGACACAGCCGGGCTGTTAGGCCCTTGCTCGGCCTCCATCTTTAGCCCTGACCTCTGGTCCAGAAGGTGGCGGCACCGGGGCCAAGAGCTCTCCGGTTGGCAGCTACTGACCACGAGGTCAGTGCCCAGCCTCCCTCCGCTTCTCTTACATCATCACCCCGCCATAAGGCTGATGTTGTGATGGTGCTTCTCTCCAGACTTAGCTACATGATAACAAACTGACTTATTTTACTATGACTTTACTCAGCCCTTGGCCCTCTCACCCCACTTCAACACTATCCATTGGGCCGATTCATTCACGACAGTACAGCCTGCTCTCGTGAATAAACTATTATGGACTGAATGTGTACAGCAGAGGTGGGATTCAGCAGGTTTTGATCAGTTCTGGAGAAGCAGGAGCGGTAATTTTGAGTAGTTCGGAGAATCAGCAAAGTTCACCTCTGACTGGAAGGAGACTGCCACGCCCACCAAGCCACGCCCAAGAACTGGTAGTAAAAACATTTGAATCCCACCACTGGTATACAGGATACTGAATCCCTACATGGCATGTTGGGTGAGCCAGTTTTGTATCCTCTAATCCGTTTGTTTTTATTGGAGAAACCCCAGGAATCCATTTGATAATGTTTGGCAAGGAGAACGGCAGAACTCCAAACAACCATGATTATTTAAGCCATTATGCTCCGGATTAATACTGCACTGCTACAACTCCTAGGCTGTCTCCATTTCCGGAGGCCACCCGGTTGCTTCTGCTGGAGACCCACGGCCAAGGGCATCTGAGATAGGCCTACAAAGAAACTAAACTGACAGGGGGTCAGATGAGTCCAACTTTTTTAAAAAAATAGCTAAGAGCATGGAGTTGTACTCATATTAAAAAAAAAAACATGTAACATCTTTGGGGGAAAAATATCATACAAGCAATAGTTAAGATCACCAGACTGATAGTTCTGGAGGTCATCTGGGGACACGTTTACGCACATCTAGGTCTGAGGAAGGCGGTCTAGGCAGCAAAACCAGGTAAATAAATAAACCATGGGTGGCAGCTTCTCGGCAGAAGGTCACCCTCCCCCCCCCCGCCACCTAGGAGAAATGGCTGCCCCTAAATTTTATCCCAGCTCGCTTTCTCCACCTCCTCTGCAAAATGAAGCTGCCGCTGCTGCCACCACAGGTTGAGTGCAACGCACCCGTGAAGGTCCCACGTGCCACGGCTTCCTTCTTGAAGGGTGGGGCAGGAGGCAGACAAGAACTCGGGGGGGGGGGGTTCCATGGCAGCGGAAGGAGGACAGAAGCATCCGCTTCTCTCAGGCGGCCGTCTCTTGGCTCAGCTCAGAGGTGGCCGAAGGCAGGCCTTTGTCGGCGGCTGACCGGGACTGCGGGGCCCCCTGCCCTTCTTCGCTGTGCTGGAGCCCATAACCAAAATAGATGGCAAAGCCTGAGGAAGAGACAATGTCCCCCAGTGTAAGAGCAGCTGAGATGGGATCCCCACCCGGGGAAGATTCTGCGCCAGGCAGCTCTTGCCGTCGAGCAGCAAGTTCCTTACCGATGGCCATCCAGACAGCAAAGCGGGCCCAGGTTCCTGCATCGAGCTGCATCATGAGATAGATGTTCACCAGGATGCTGAAGAGGGGGAGCAACGGCAGGCCGGGCACCTGGAAAGGCAGGGGAGGCCAGTTGGGAGAGGCCCCGGGAGGGAGGGGGCCAGCCAGCGTGGAAACTTGGCTTGAAGGCAGGCGGCCACCTCTGGGGCCAAGCGCCATGGAAGGAGCCAGTGCCCAGCTCTCCTGCTCCCGTGTCTAGGGCCAGGCTCCTCCTCTCCCTCCCCCCTGGGGAAAAGCTGGCCAGAGGTCCTACTTTGAAAGCAAGCCGGGTCTTGCTTTCGGGCTGCCTCCAGATGATGGCAGTGCCAGCGAACAAAATGCCCAGGAGAATGACACAGGCAATGACCCAGCCAACGCTGCCCTTCTGGAGGGCTTCCCACTCATGGGCCAGGATGCCACACAGGGCAGTGATCGTGACAGCTGCAAGGAAAGGAGACCAAAGGGAAGGAAGGGTTATTCAGGTGAGACCTTTCCCATTCCCACGCCCGAGGAGCCGCTCAAGCCCGGAATCCTGGCGCCCGGTTCTGATCTCCTCCCCCTCCTCTTCTCTTGGTCTCCTGCGAAGGAGCCGAGCCCGACCAGCTGCTCACTCCAGTCACCTCTGGAGAGGACTGCCTGGCCTCGGCCATCGTGTCCCCCAATTTCTACCTCTCCCCAGTAATCCTTACCAACGACCGTGGTGCTGATGTAGACGAGGCGCCCCGAGACGTGGGTCGGGATGGCCTCGGAGGGGAAGAAAAGACTCTTGCAGCTGAACTTCTCCTGGGATGCCTTCGGCCCATCACCCCCCGTGGAATTCATGGTCAGCTTTTCTTCTTCACTTCCGTTGATCTCGAGCATTTCCAGGTCCTTGGAGGCCCTCAGTAGCTCAGGTTGGTACCTGCCAGGAAAGCCGGAGTGGCCAAAGCGGAAATCCCAGGTTAGCCCCTCTGCCAACCACGAGTCCTGGGAGAAGAAAGGCCCGATGGCCCGGTCTCTTTCCTCAACCTTCCCGGCTGTAGCTTCTCCCCATGTGGACCACAAGGTTCATCACCACCCTGTGAAGCCTGAGGGATCAGCCCCTCGAGGCAAGCTCTGTCCCCAAAGAGGCCCCCACCTGAGGATGAGCACACAGATGGCCACCAGAGAGTACGCCAGGAGCGTGCCAATAGACATCAGGTTAACCAGGTCCTTCAGCTCAAAGAGGAACGCCATCAGGGCTGCAAGAGAAGAGAGGCTGCCAAAATCTCTGGATCACAGATTGGTGGTGGTGGGGGAGACCCATGAATGGACAGCTATACCTGCAATGATGCCCGAGACGACAGTGGCCACCAAGGGGGTCTTGGCCCGGCTGTGAACCCGGGAGAGGAACCGGAAGAGCAGGCCATCTTCAGCCATGGCGTAGATCACTCGCGGCATGGGGAACATGGAGCCAAGCAGGCTGCGCGGCAGAGAAAGAGAGCAGGAGCCACGGATGGATTTGGCCTGGAGCGTTTGGGCTCCTGGGCCCAGTCTAGGATGGGGGTTCAGGCCTCTCAGTGAAGCCTCGCCAAGCGACTGGCCCTCTTCCAAAAAGGCTTGCTCAGTGGCCCTTCCCGGTCTTCTGCCTTTCATGGCTTAAGCAGCAGCTTTGGGGAAAAGGAGTTTCTCTGTGGTGGCCTCTCCCTTCCTTCTGTCTGGGCAGGTTGCTCTCCTTCAAGCCACGGAATCTGGCCGCTTTTCTCCCTCAAACCTCTAACTGCCCTCCTATTCTCCTGCCCTTGCCTTCAAAAACGGCCTGCCTAAAGCCCTGTTTGATGGGGTTTCGGTGCTTAAAAAGCGTTGTTTTGAGTTCAAGGATTCATAAACAAGTCACCCGTCAGTCATCTTGGTGAGACGGCTATGAAGCCCGCCAGCCAGAGGCTTCTGGCTGAGCTGAGCCGCCTCCCTCCACTTCTCTCACCTTGTAGAGAGGGCACAGAGGGAGCCGATGGCCACCACGTAGCGGGCGGGCTCCCAGCCCACGGCCTTGAAGGCATCAGGCAGCGGGCTCTCCTTGTCCACCAGGAAGTAGGGGACCATCAAGGTCAGGGAGGCCGAAACGCCAAAATAGGCCACGAAGCAGATGAGGAGCGAGACGATGATGCTGACGGGGATGGACCGTTGGGGGTTCCGAGCTTCCTCACCTGCGGAAGGAGGGCGGGGGGGCGGGGGGGGGGCGGTTCAGGTGCAGAATGACCCGGCTAAGGTTCCAACACGATCCCCCTTCCTCTGCTGTCCCCAACGCCGACGGAGGTTCAAGGACCCCCTCCTGCCCCTCCTTGTTGATTCGGCAGGCCGATTCCCACCGGCACAAAGTGGACTTCCTGAGTAGCTGAGCACCCACGGTCCTGGCCCCCACTGGGCATAACGTGGTGCCCAAATTAGGAGCATGTGGCACAGCGAAACCGGGAATCTGAGCCTCCCGGCTGATGCATTTAGTTCCTGCCCCCCTGACAAGGCTGTGGGGCGCCCCTGGCTCCGAACCCCTCTGCCCATCGCAAGAGACGGGCAGCAAAGCAACCCTGACCCTTTGAAAGCCTTCCGCCACTAGCCAGGCTCCCCAGACCACTTCAATTGTTAGGAATAATCCAAATGTGCTTCTAGGGAGCGTTGGTTCTAGCACTGCCCTCTGAAACTAGCCAGAAGGCCCGTCTTCTGCCCTCTTCCACACAACCGCCCCAATTAGAGTGCGCTGAGAAGCGGGGTTGCCTTCCCACCAGCCCTTCCGCCGCCTCCCAAGCGCCACGTTACCTGTGGTGGCGATGCAGTCGAATCCAACAAAGGCGTAGAAACAGGTGGCAGCCCCCGAGAGGATTCCTTCGAAGCCAAAGGGGACAAACCCTCCTTCGCCGAAGCTGTCCCTGAGGGGAGACAGGCAGGCAGGCCGGCCGGCCGGTGAGGGCAGGAGGAAAGGCACCTCCTCCAGGGCAGCTCTTCTAACTTGCTGCGGCTGCTTTCCCTTCGGCCATTACCGCAACAGGAAACCCGCAGCAGCCGATGCTCCATCGGCACAAGGGGAATAGGAGAAACCCCCCACCCCACCCCCTTTGTGGAAAAGCGAAGAGGCAGCCACGACCGGGGAGGGGGCCCGTACTTGTGTCTAGACTCCAAGAGGTTTTGTGAGCGGTTCTGCCAATCCTCCTTGGACAAGTTCCAGTTCTTGACATCTCCTTTCACAAAACCCGCGACAATGACAAAGCTGAGCACCAGCAGGTTGATGGCCGTGAAGATTTTATTCACCAGGGCAGATTCGCTCACTCCGAACGAGAGAAGGCCTGGGAGCCAAAGGAAAGAAGAAGAAAAAAGGGGGGGGGGGGCGTTGGGGAAAGTCTCCGCGGTCTAAGCTTTTCTCCACGGTCTAAGCTTTCCTCCGGAGGCCAGAGACGGGCCAGGCCGGTCAGAATTAAAAGTCCCCTCCTGGCCGATCCTGGCACCGGTCACTTCATGCATTTCTATTCTGCAGTTTCCCTTGTTCTCTGGAAGTCAAGCGCTGGGGGGGAACGGGGGCCTCTCTGCAGCTGCACCTGGGCACCTTCCTGGCTATTGTTCATGACCAACATCAGCACATTCTGCTGGCCTCAGCAGCAGTCACTTCCCAAGCGCCCAAGAGCCTCGTGGAATCGGATCAAACCTCCGTCCAGTCGCATCTTTGCAGGGCCAGGAGGTGTCAAACTCTGCAAGATGGCAGCAGGCACAGCACAGCAGCCATTTCGAGACACGGTCCAGTTCAGCTCTCTGCTCCGGCCGCAGCCAATCAGCCCACCTTGTGGGGACCAGCCCCACCCTCCCGCCGACTCCCCAGGAATGTTGGCCCTGCCCTCCGCCTCCTCTCTCGTCACCCACGTCCATCCCTTCTCAACTGGCTGGTCATTGATGGGCTCCCCTGGGGCAGCCAAGGCAGGAGGTCGACCTGGGCAAGTTGAAGTCCACCCATCGTCCACCTGAGAAACTCCGCAGGGGAGGAGCAAGGCCTGAAGCAAATTTTCTCCTTCCTGCTGTGAATCTCCCGTCGCCCGGCTTTGCTCGTTCAGAGCATTTACACAGCTGCCCGCCTTACCTCAGACTCTGCCTCAGAGTTATGAAAGGGGAAGGAAAACAACGTCCCTGCCAGGCATGCGTTTTAGGAAAATCCACTGGGATTTTCCCAGGCGCTTCCTGCTATCCGCGTTGCTGCATCCGGCATTTCTGTTTTCCTAAGACTCAACAAGTTCGTACAGCGTCTTGAGAGGTTTCACAGCAGGAATGCCTGGCCTTGCCCCCTTGTACGAACAGGCCCTCCCTGCCCTGGAAGGCCTCCCCCTGGCTGAGAGGAAGCCCTGGCCTGCCTGAGCCCCGCAGCTGGCAGGGCAGCTTCAGGTGCCTCACCTGTGAGCACCAGCACCAAGAAGAGGGCGAAGAAGTCGGGATACTCGGCCAGCACGTTGTCCAGGTGCAAAGCTGTGTGGTTCCGGAAGAACGTGGAGATGTGGCCCCCAATGATGTGGTCAAAGGTGGAACTCCAGGCCCGAGCCACACTCGCTGTCCCTGAGGGGGCAAGACGGCATCTGGGTGAGTTCAAGCTAGTCTCCGGCCTGCATCTCCCCTGCAAGTCGGGGGAGGGGGGAGGGGGGGGCTTTGGCCCCTTCTCGGGAGCAGAGGATGGTGGAAGGGCTCAAAAGACACACACACGCCTGGCCCTTGAGTTTGGAGAGACCCCCACCTCCTTCCCAAACCAGTAGCCCTCCATGCTTACATGCTCAATGCGTGCCCAGCATAGTTGGGAACATGCTTAACCCATTGGGCAAAAGGCCCACTTTGGTGAGTCAGTCAGCATGTCATGTCAACTCAACCCAGCGGGCCAATTTCTGCCTAGCACTTGATGAGGTTACCTGGTTTGGGTAATGAAGCACCTGTAAGAAAACAACCCAGCTGAGAGAGCACCCAGGACCCCTCAGTTTCTGATTCACCTGCTGTGCGAACTCAGAAAACGGGTTATTTCAAAGAAGAAGAAAGAAGAAAGAAGAAGAAGAAGAAAGAAGAAGAAGAAGAAGAAGAAG